CAGATCAATGAGGAAACAGCTGGACAAAAATCTGACTTTCCACAAGTTGGTTGCTTACATGATTGCCCTAATGACAGGTAAACATGTTCTTTGAAAAATGAACAGGAAGTTGTTGTGCATATCAAAGTAGGTTAAGTTTGCACCTGAGTGATAGGCTACAGTACGTTTTACAGAAAAGGTCACATGTGCGATAGCTATGGCAAATAATCACACTGCGTGCCGTTATGCAATAGAAAACGTTCTCATTTACAGTTTGAGCCTTAGGCTAAGTATTTCACGCCTGATAACTCTAGCGTTGCAGATGTTCTTCTTCTTGGCCTGGATAAACATTGACCAAGTTCTAACCCGATCTCATGAAAGTGTGTATAAATAGTACGCCAAATCAAAAAAAAAAAAAAAAAAACTCGTGGTATTATTACGCAAAAATGGACTTTGGCGTGTATATGCTACGCGAGTTAGGGTTGTGTCGTAGATGCGTATCATACGCACGCGAAAACTGCGTATCATATGCACGCCAACACATTTTGTATCATATGCACGTGAAAACTGCGTATCATATGCACGCCAACAAATTTTGTATCATATGCACGTGAAAACTGCGTATCATATGCACGCCAACAAATTTTGTATCATATGCACGCGAAAACTGCGTATCATATGCACGGCAACAAATTTTGTATCATATGCACGTGAAAACTGCGTATTACGCCAAACACGTGCGTAGCATATATACGCCAAAGTCCATTTTTGCGTATCAATACCAAAAGTTTTCGTTTTTATTTGGCGTACTATTTATACGCATTTTCATGAGACCGGGCTCCAAGTTTCGAATATGTAAGAAACTGATTCTTGTATTTAATGTGTTTGGGTCTGTATAAAGATTTGAAATCTAGCATCTATCAGGACATGTTAGGTTTTTGTTTGTTTGTTTGTTTTTATGTTACAACATGTCAATGAAGACAGAGAAAGCATGATTTTAAGAGAAAAGCTAAAAAAAGAACTTTAGAGAACCATGCAAAGATGCTCGTCCAAAATGCTGTATTTTCAAGTTCCATTAAACACTGTCATGGTTAGAGAACGAGTCTTCAACCTGAAGGTACTCAAAGGCGTCTGCATAAATATATAAATCATCAGAGTTTAAATTTGCTTTAGATTTCTGACTAATAATTTGCTAAACAATCTATAGTTAATCCAGGGTCCCCGGATTGAGTTATAGAATATATTAGCAAGTAAACAATAATTATAACCGTTGTAACAGCCATTTTACGTTCTCACATTTCTTTCATTGACACAATGTCTGATTTTGACCATATGAAATCCTTCTTTGATGCAGCGGTTCACACTGTCGCTCATTTGCTTAATGCGGAGTGGTACACAAACAGTTTCCAAGGTCGATATGGGCCTCTTGCCAGTAAACTGTCCATGCTCGGTGACTCTCGTGAATTAAATACCACTTACCTGAATCCCTTTCGCTCCAATTCTACGGTGAGTTACTGAACTTTGAATGGCTTTTATTAAGATTTTTACATTTTCCAATCATTTTGATTTTATATATACTACCATTCAAACGTTTGGAGTCAGTGAGTTTTTTCTCCTCACATTTAATTAATACTTTTTATTCAGCATGGTTTCATTAAATTGATCAAGGGAGACAGTAAAATCATGTATAATGTTACAAAAGGTTTCTAATTCAAATAAATTGTGTTCTTTTGAACTTTCTATTCATCAAAGAATCCTGTAAACAGTATTATGTTTCCACAAAATTATTAAGCAGTTAAAACCATTTTCAACTATGATAATAAGATAATCAGTATATCAGAATGATTTCTGAAGGATCATGTGACACTGAAGACTGCAGTAATGACTGATGAAAATTCAGCTTTGCATCAAGGGACATTTACAATAAATTACATTTTCAAATATATTAAAACTAAAAGCATTTTTTTTATTGTAATATTTCACAATATTGCTATTTTTTACAGTGTTTTCGATCAAACAAATGCTGCCTTAGCTATCATAAGACTGCTTTTAAAAATGTTTTTTAAAAATCTTTCTATCCACAAACGTGAATGGTAGTTTACAATTGAGCTCATTACTATACTGCTTCAGAGGTATGATATATGCCTGCTCTAATCTTGTTTCCTTTACTCCAGACTCCAACGATTTTCGTATTCACCACTATTGCGGGTCTCACAGGAGTCGTCATTACTCTTGCCCTCATCCTCATAATCACTTCATCAATGGAAGTCATTCGCAGAAGCTATTTTGAGGTCTTTTGGTACACGCATCACCTCTTCATCATTTTCTTTGCTGGCTTAGTTTTCCATGGTGCAGGGTAAGATCTATTAACTGGGTGAGCCCAATAAAAAAAAAAAAAGATTTGTAGGAGAATAAGAGTAATTAAAACATTCTGTTTGGTTTCTGTCCAGACGCATCGTGCGAAGTCAGCAAGTGACCAATCCACCTCACAATAATTCCTTCTGCAAAGATCAGCCAGAAAACTGGGGGAAAATTCCTGAATGTCCAGTTCCACAGTTTGCAGGAGGGTTTCCTCAGGTAAAAGTGGTCACATTTGCAGTTACGCAGGCTATGACGGATTTATTTGAGTGCTTACTGATTTCAATTTGCTGAATCCTCGGTTGCAGACCTGGATGTGGGTAATTGGACCAATGATAATTTATCTTTGTGAGCGGCTGCTACGTTTCATTCGTTACATGCAGCCTGTCAGTTATAGGAAGGTGAGTCTTCGTGGACTACATTGTTCATCTAAACCCCAGTACAGTTGTCCTGTAATGACAAACCGTTTCCATTCTTGCATTTTAGATTGTAATCCGTCCATCCAAGGTGTTGGAACTACAACTGGTGAAGCCTGGATTCAAGATGGAAGTCGGCCAGTATGTGTTTCTCAATTGTCCAGCCATCTCTCAGCTGGAGTGGCACCCATTTACCATGACATCAGCCCCAGAAGAGGACTTCTTTAGTGTGCACATCCGCTCAGTTGGAGATTGGACTGAAAAGCTCATCAAGATGGTCGAAAACCTACCAGAGGGTGGGCAAGGACCTAAGTATGTACTTTTTGCCATTTTACTTATTCTCTAAAAATAAAGGTTCCAAAAGGAGTTTCTCACAGCAGTTCCATAGAAGAAGCATTTGGGTTTCCCAAAGAAGCTTTCGGTGAAATGCACTCTTAAAAATAAAGGTTCTTTATTGCCTTTTATAGTTCCATGAAGGACCTTTAACATCCATGGAATCTTTCCATCCCACAAAAGGTTCTTTATAGTGGGAAATTTTAAAGGTTCTTAATGGAACCATAGATGCCAGTAAAGAAGCTTTATTTTTAAGCATGTAGGGCATACAATATTAACGTATTCTTCAAACTGCAGGTCTCAATTTCAGCTTATGGAAAAGATATTTCTAAATATGGAAAATGACACACAGGAGCAGTAATATATCAAGAAAATCTTTTATTTTTGTCTCAGGATGGCTGTGGATGGCCCGTTTGGAACTGCGAGTGAGGATGTATTTGATTATGAGGTCAGCATGTTGGTGGGTGCTGGGATTGGAGTGACCCCATTTGCCTCTATCCTGAAGTCCATTTGGTACAAGTTTAAAGACTCTGACCCCAAACTACGAACAAAGAGGGTAAGAACATGTGAGACAAAAATAAGGAAGTTGGCTGCAATCACTCTTGTTGTTACTGTGGTATTACAAAGGTGTCCTTCATGTCCTAGATAAAGTCTGGGATTCCATGAAACTCAGTTTCCTCTTCATTTCTGACTTTTCTGTTTAGATTTACTTCTACTGGCTGTGTAGAGAGACATATGCCTTTGAGTGGTTTGCAGATCTCCTACAGGTCCTTGAGAAAGACATGGAGGAACGAGGAATGAGGGACTTCCTCACATACAAACTCTACCTCACCGGATGGGACCAGAGTCATGTACGTGCAATAAAACTGTTGTGATCTGAAAAGCAAGTTGGCCTAAATTGAAATAGGAGTAATGTGCATAAATCACAGAACATCTAATCTTGCATTTATAGGTAAACCATGCAATGGTACATTTTGATAAAGATACAGATATCATCACTGGTCTAAAACAAAAGACTCATTATGGCCGACCGAACTGGGATAGAGAATTTGAACAAGTTCGGCAAGAGAACCCATCGTAAGTTTCAAAACTTTTCACGATGTTACGGATTCCCACACGTAACAAAAATACCCCAACACTAAACGTTTGTTTTTTTTTTTAAATATGCACAGGTCTGTGGTTGGAACTTTCTTGTGTGGCCCACAAGCCTTAGCAAAGGACTTGGAGAAGAAATGTGTGAGATACTCCGACGTGGATCCACGGAAAACCACGTTTTACTTCAACAAAGAGAACTTCTGAGGACATTTTTTTGCAGGAATCCTAATTCTCTTGAAGAATTAGTGCACTAGGGATTGTGCTCTTCAGCAGTATCATGATTTGCCATTTCTGGAATCTTTACATCTAATGATTCTGCATTGCTGTGACAAGAAAAATGGCACCCTTCATCCTGAAAAGTGAACAAATTGCTGGAAGGGACTAATTCCGTGTCTGAGTCAAAAGTCCACTCATTGTATTTTTTTCTTTCCTTCAAAGTTTGGCTTTCCAAGTTCCTGGTTTGAAATGAATCACCAAGAATCAAGGAAATCAGACATACACCAGAATGTATTGTGTTTTTATAAGTGCCTCCTTGTGTAAATAAGTGCTCTAAAAATAGTTGCTGAAAAGGATTTTGGAATTTCACCTCTTTGCAAAAGGTGAAAAAGGAAAAGATGTTTTTCTTTAAAACCACACATATTATCTGATGTAATGTCACATGGTTAGTCACTGGTTTCGTAACCTTTAAAGAATCAAACCAACTTTATAATTCAAAACATAAAATTAATAATGTACATTATATATGTCTTTTTAAAATTGTTTTTATAATAAATTTTGAAGGCAGGAATTATTTTCTGCATTGAAAAAAATGTCCAGTTGTTTATTTCAAAACACAGTTGTTTATTTTTTTCATGAGAAGTAAATTGTGAACTACTATTATTCATATATAACTGATCTCAAAAGAAAATGCCACTATAAAAAAAAAAACAACAACAACAAAGTTACAGATGTGGATGTCCTGCAGACCAATACAAGTGTAGCTAGGTATGGTTGTCTGATCGGATGCGTATGTTCCTGCAATCACAAAGTTATAGAGTCAGATTTTTCAGACTTGCACTAACCCAAATGAATCCCCGTTACATAAGAAAACCCATGTTCCGCTTTTTCGCAGAGTCTGTAATTATCATAAGTTGTTTTAGGATGGATGCAAAAGAAAGAAAAGACCTTGCGTCACAAGATGAGTCTTCAGGGTGCGCCTGCCGTCTTCTGAATCTGCTCCTTCAGTATCAGGATACTCTGTCTCTGTTCTGGTGGCAGCATGGCGATCTGTTCTGGGGTCAGCTGCAGGACCTGCATAATCAAGGCAGCCTGGGAATGTGGAAAAAGCATACCGATTAGTATCTACAAAACATAAGCATGGTTACATCGATTCAAATTAATGAGTGTGATAACCCTGTCAACATTTAAATCAACATTTCAACAAGTAACTGGGAATTCTGGAAAATCTGGTCACTGTAGGGAAAAAGACACTCACTTTCTCATGGTCTTGTGATGACACATCTGATGTAGGACCCTATTAAAAGACATAAATGGGATTAAAACATGTGGACATTTAAATTAAATACTGCAAGCTAAATAGTGTTCTCTGACAGGGCTGTTCAAACAGGGCTGCAAAGGGGTCAAATTGAGAGAGAAAAAAAATTACGAAATGTGAATGATATGAAAGATGCATATAGTTTTTTGGGGGGGGAAAAGATTTCTTTATTTCTCATTATTTGCAATGGAAACTGTTCAAAAGTATACTTTTATTCAACAAGACATTAAATTGATTAAAAGTAACAGACAATGACATTGTTACAAAATAAATAAATCCTGTTCTTATATTAATCAAAGAATTTTGAAAAAGAAATGTATGAAATTTTCAGCAGCACAACTTTTTTTTCCCCAATAATGATTATAATAAATGTTTCTTGAGCAGTAAGTCAGTATATTAGAATGCTTTCTGAAGGATCTGAAAAGTCAGCTTTGGCAACACAGGAATAAGTTACAATTTAAAATACATTAAAATAGAAAACAGTTATCTTAAAATTGTAATATTACTCAAATACTGTTATTTATCAAGTAAATGTGACCCGTACTTGCAAAATGAGTCGGAATGTGCATGGGCTATTTTTGAGCTATAGGGGAAAAAAAGTGAGAAATAATTTGTCGAATTTGAGGTTTTCACAAATATGAGTTAATTAAGCCCTCGTCTAGCGGCCCAAATAGTAATTAAACATCTAAAATTATCTTTATTTGCATGTTTTCTGAGAGGTCTACCTTTTTCTCTGCTCGCTTCTTGATGACTGGTGCGTCCCCTCAGCACAAGTTTGGTATAGTCGTAAAACTATACCAGATTAATGAGGCCTACGATCAATCAAGTTTCAAAAATAAATTAAAAAAAACAGTCCTAATTGAAAGAAAACAAGTTGACAAAAAGATTGAATCCTATATTTGGTGATAATATAGCACAACAAGAGATTTAGAAGCTATTTTTTGTAGGCCGGTCATTTTTGACTGAGAACACCTCAAGTGTAACAAGGTGCAATAAAATAAAAAAAGTATCACATTTTTGGAGGAAGTAGTTATGCCGTGTGTGAGCAAAGTCAGTCAATTTTAGCCCAATTCAATAACATTAACATTTTCAGGAGAAAGAAAATCCTCTCCGGGTCAAAATGACCTGAACACAATCGAAGGGTTAAGAAAAGAAGTGGAGGAAAATATGAAACGTTGCTAGCTGATTTTGCTTTGGAAACTTCAGAAAAGAAAACTTCAACTCCATTTTTCTCAAAATTGACTGCTGACTATTGACTTCAAACGGATGTAGCTCAGTCATTATTTGGTCGATTCCAACAATCATACATCATTTGGAAATTTTTTTTTTTTTAAATGGAGATTTTGAAAATACTCACTTTTGAAAATGTGCTCATTGCGACTCATTTTGCCAGCACAGGTTACAAATGCAGCCTTGGTGAGCCTAAGAGGCTTCTTTTAGAAGCGTAAATAAATAAATCCTACCGTCCCTGAACATTAGTGTACATAAAACTGTTTTGCCATACAAATAAATCTGAATTGAATGGAAAATGTTCTCTAATATTCTAATATTGAATAGGAAATAAAGCTCATAACTTAATACATGGTAAACATTTCCAGATAATTTTAATAACTTATTGCACTAAAGACAAACAATAAAAACGCCAATTCAAAATCTCCAAATCTGCTTTCCTTAAATATCACATTTAGGATTTTTAGACAGCTGCCTTTATAGTTCAGAAAGAGGGTCCCTTTACAATGGCATGATTAAATTTGGGGGTCCTAGACATTAAAACATTTGAAAAGCTCTGTTAAAAGAAAAAAGACAATTCTACAGGAGTCTGGAAATCTTACTGGTCTTGCTGATGGAGGTGCACTTTGTCCCATGCCATGGGGGGGAGGACCCTGCATTCCACCAGCTACAGGAACCCTCTGGCCAGATATCGGACCCCGAGCATCAACAGCCCTTGGATCACGACCTTGAGAAATTAAGAAAAATCGTAAGAGTAAGAGTATCCTTCAAAAAGAGTGTTATTTCAGAAAGAAGTAAAATGGGTAATAGACCCTTTTCACATTTCTGAGTTTCTCAGAAGTGGAAGTCATCATAGTTGGGTAAACTTCGGGAGACTACAGCAAATATGTTCTATTTACATTCTCATTTGCACAAATAGCAAAAGAAAAACTCCATGATAGTTTTCACGACTTTCAAAAAGTGGGAAAAAAAATGGAGAGCGATTGATAACAGCAGTCAAAAGAGAGAACCATGTCAAATGTATTGTCACTCCCATAGCCACTGTATTAGAAACACCCTCACAGCCGCATTAGTTTTTTGTAGTTTGATGCAAAGGAAATATAACAAAAAGAAAAAAAAGAAAAGAGAAAAACTTTTGCAGGATTTACAATGCTGATGACCACTGAAATGCATCCTCACAGTCTGAGAAAAGGGTCCATACAGTTATCCAAGCCAAGTCAACAAATAACGTGAAACCACATCTTTAAGTACCTCTTGCCTCCATGGGTGGACCCCGCTGCTCCATCATAGGACCTCTAGGTTCTCCCATCATGGGTCCTCCTCTCATGTCATGAGGGCCACGCATGTCTGGGGGAGCCATATGCATGGGCGGCCCCTGATGTTGTGGAGGGCCTCCAATGTAACCATGCCTTTAAGTGAACAAAAAACAAAATACATAGCTTTTGTTACAAACTAAAAAAAAGAAACAAATCAATATGATTGTAAAAGCAGTAAAAAAAATCTTTAGTGATCAATAAATTGCCATGAAAGCCTGATGTACAATACCATTCAAAATTTTGGGCTCAGTAAGACTTTTTCCCCCTTTTGGCAAAAAATTAACACTTTTATTCAGCAGGGATGCATTAAATTGATCAAAAGTGACAGTAAAACAATGTTACAATAGATTTCCATTTCAAATAAAAATTAAATTAACTAAAAATAAAATGTATCACAATTTCCACAAAAATATTTAAGCAGCACAACGGTTTTCAACATTTCATAATAAATGGTTCTTGAGCACCAAATCAGCATTTTAGAATGATTTCTGAAGGATCATGTAACACTGAAGTAATGGCTGCTGAGAATTCAGCTTTGCCATTACATGAATACATTTTCAAAATATATTAAAATATATATTTTTTATAACAGAAATATATATAATTTATAATAGAACAATTATTTTAAGTTGTAATATTTTACAATATTACAGTTTTACTTTCTTTGATGCAACCTTGGTAACAAGAGACTACTTAAAAAACAAAAAGAAAAAAAAAAAAGTCATTTAAAAAACATTTTTAACTAAACAATTTAAAGGGATAGTTGACCCAAAAATCAAAAGTCCCTCTCAAGCCATCCTAGGTGTATATGACTTTCTTCTTTTAGACAAATGTAAATCCGAGTTATATTAAAAAATGTCTTGGCTCTTCCAAGCTTTATAATGACAGTGAATGATTGAGATTCAATAGTTCAATGGAAGTCCAATAAAGTGCATCCATCCATCATAAAACGCACTCCACAAGGCTCCGAGGGGTTAATAAAGGCCTTCTGAAGCAGAGCAATGTGTTTGTGTAAGAAAAATATCCATATTTACAACTTTATAAACCGTAATCTCTAGCTTCCGCTAACTGTCGTACGTGCGTTCACTAGAGAGTGGCGTTCCAGCGGATGACGTAGGCGTAGTGTAAGCTCTGGTAAGAAGTGACGAACATGGAAGCACAAAGGAGAGAGCAAAATAAAACACTGATCATGAATTAGAAGTACAAAACAAGGATTTGTAAAGACTTCAAAATGAGCCAAGAGGAGACTGGTTTTCCTTTGCTGTAAACAAATCTTGGTTCTCGCGATACTAGCATATTGTCACCAGAGCTTATGCTACGCCTAAATTCTACATCATCCGCCGGATCGCCACTCTCTAGTAAACGTGCATATGACAGTTAGCAGAAGCTAGAGATTAATGTTTATAAAGTTTTAAATATGGATATTTTTCTTACACAAACACATCGATTAGCTTCATAAGGCCTTTATTAACTCCCTGGAGCAGTGTGGAGCACTTTTTATGATGGATGGATGCACTTTATTGGACTTCTATTACACTATTGAATCTCAACAGCCATTCACTGCCATTATAAAGCTCGGAAGAGCCAGGGCATTTTTGAATATAACTCTGACTGTATTCGTCTGAAAGAAGAAAGTCATATACACCTAGGATGGCTTGAGAGGGAGTAAATTGTGGGGTAATTTTCATTTTTGGGTGAACTATCCCTTTAAATATTTTATATAATGGTTCTACACCGTTTGACTTTAAACATTTATTTTATTTTATTATTTTATTTCATTTCATGTCAGGCTTTACAAAGTAAAGCACAACTGCATAAAGGAAAAGATGTGTCAATATAAGCTTCCTAAAATACTCATGAGACTAATGGGAATATTTTAAGATCAGCTGTGATCACCTAAATTTCATTGCAACAAACTTTTTAATAAGCATTACCCTGGCTCCACCATTTCTCCAGTGACATTGACCAATGATCCACCTCGCGGGTCGTTCGGACCATCGCCAAGAAGGCCTCTGGGTGGGATCCCTGGAGGGCCTTGAGGGGCCCCTCGCATTGAGGCACGTGGGTCTACTATCGGCACTGTGAAAAGAAAGAACATTTACATGAAAACTGATTTTAAAAAATGTGCATGCTTTGAAGAATAAAAATAATAATAATAAAATTTTAAAAAGAACTAGCTATAGAATCACAATAATGAAAGAAACTAGTGTCAAAGTGCATTACACAAACATTTCAAAACTTGGGCATGTCCTTTTGTGCTACCAATGAACATGAATAATAAGGTTGTACTGTCAAGCCCATTTCACAGGTATGACAGCAAAAAATTAACACTTTTATTCAGCAGGGATGCATTAAATTGATCAAAAGTGACAGTAAAACAATGTTACAATAGATTTCCATTTCAAATAAAAATTAAATTAACTAAAAATAAAATGTATCACAATTTCCACAAAAATATTTAAGCAGCACAACGGTTTTCAACATTTCATAATAAATGGTTCTTGAGCACCAAATCAGCATTTTAGAATGATTTCTGAAGGATCATGTAACACTGAAGTAATGGCTGCTGAGAATTCAGCTTTGCCATTACATGAATACATTTTCAAAATATATTAAAATATTTTTTTTTTATAACAGAAATATATATAATTTATAATAGAACAATTATTTTAAGTTGTAATATTTTACAATATTACAGTTTTACTTTCTTTGATGCAACCTTGGTAACAAGAGACTACTTAAAAAACAAAAAGAAAAAAAAAAAAGTCATTTAAAAAACATTTTTAACTAAACAATTTAAAGGGATAGTTGACCCAAAAATCAAAAGTCCCTCTCAAGCCATCCTAGGTGTATATGACTTTCTTCTTTTAGACAAATGTAAATCCGAGTTATATTAAAAAATGTCTTGGCTCTTCCAAGCTTTATAATGGCAGTGAATGATTGAGATTCAATAGTTCAATGGAAGTCCAATAAAGTGCATCCATCCATCATAAAACGCACTCCACAAGGCTCCGAGGGGTTAATAAAGGCCTTCTGAAGCAGAGCAATGTGTTTGTGTAAGAAAAATATCCATATTTACAACTTTATAAACCGTAATCTCTAGCTTCCGCTAACTGTCGTACGTGCGTTCACTAGAGAGTGGCGTTCCAGCGGATGACGTAGGCGTAGTGTAAGCTCTGGTAAGAAGTGACGAACATGGAAGCACAAAGGAGAGAGCAAAATAAAACACTGATCATGAATTAGAAGTACAAAACAAGGATTTGTAAAGACTTCAAAATGAGCCAAGAGGAGACTGGTTTTCCTTTGCTGTAAACAAATCTTGGTTCTCGCGATACTAGCATATTGTCACCAGAGCTTATGCTACGCCTAAATTCTACATCATCCGCCGGATCGCCACTCTCTAGTAAACGTGCATATGACAGTTAGCAGAAGCTAGAGATTAATGTTTATAAAGTTTTAAATATGGATATTTTTCTTACACAAACACATCGATTAGCTTCATAAGGCCTTTATTAACTCCCTGGAGCAGTGTGGAGCACTTTTTATGATGGATGGATGCACTTTATTGGACTTCTATTACACTATTGAATCTCAACAGCCATTCACTGCCATTATAAAGCTCGGAAGAGCCAGGGCATTTTTGAATATAACTCTGACTGTATTCGTCTGAAAGAAGAAAGTCATATACACCTAGGATGGCTTGAGAGGGAGTAAATTGTGGGGTAATTTTCATTTTTGGGTGAACTATCCCTTTAAATATTTTATATAATGGTTCTACACCGTTTGACTTTAAACATTTATTTTATTTTATTATTTTATTTCATTTCATGTCAGGCTTTACAAAGTAAAGCACAACTGCATAAAGGAAAAGATGTGTCAATATAAGCTTCCTAAAATACTCATGAGACTAATGGGAATATTTTAAGATCAGCTGTGATCACCTAAATTTCATTGCAACAAACTTTTTAATAAGCATTACCCTGGCTCCACCATTTCTCCAGTGACATTGACCAATGATCCACCTCGCGGGTCGTTCGGACCATCGCCAAGAAGGCCTCTGGGTGGGATCCCTGGAGGGCCTTGAGGGGCCCCTCGCATTGAGGCACGTGGGTCTACTATCGGCACTGTGAAAAGAAAGAACATTTACATGAAAACTGATTTTAAAAAATGTGCATGCTTTGCCACTTTGACAAGAATAAAAATAATAATAATAAAATTTAAAAAAGAACTAGCTATAGAATCACAATAATGAAAGAAACTAGTGTCAAAGTGCATTACACAAACATTTCAAAACTTGGGCATGTCCTTTTGTGCTACCAATGAACATGAATAATAAGGTTGTACTGTCAAGCCCATTTCACAGGTATGACACCGTTGGTTATACCAAGGCCATTCCTGAAGTGTCAAGAAAATTAGACTGAAGGAAACAAAAAGTTTCCACTTCATGAACAAAAGAATATCGTTTCACCTGTCAAAGTGACAATACTAACAAAGAGGATTTCAACATCTTTACAAAGTGAAACTCATCAATACTCAGCTCTATTCTGCTACAGTGGCACATTCCATTAGGCAACAAGACTTCATTGTTGCCTAATGTATCTATGCAGAGATAAGTAGAAGACTAAAAAGGTGCATGTAGGGGTAAGACAATGAGCAGTTGAGACTCTTGACAGGCCTGTTCTGAACAGACCAGAGATATACCCATGATACCTTGAGGCCGCTCGATAGCAGCCAGCCCAGCTGCTCCCACAGGAGAGTCCTGAAGGTTTCCTGGGTCAGCATTAAGTGAAAAGAACAGGAGAGAGAACTGAGACAGCGCACTTACTGATATTACCCAGGGATGATTGTACTGATGTTAATGGACATGGGCTAGAGTAGTGGTCGATGTGGGTTTTTAATTGGCTAATGCAGATACAAATATCTAGGAATCAAAGTGTCCTATATAATGTATATCATTATATAATTGTACCACTATATAAAACTACATATAAAAGCAAAAGTATATACATGGGGTCGCCAAGATTTTTATTTATGTTTTGAAAGAAGTCTCTTATGCTCACCAAAGCTCAAATCTATTTGATCAAAACTACAGTAAAAACAGTAATATTGTGAAATATTACAATAAAAAATTATAACAAATGTCAATTATTCCTGTGAACTTTCAGCAGCCATTATTCCAGATTTCAGCATCACAGGATTTGATTTGATTTGCTGCTCAATTAACAGTTCTTATTACCACCGCAGTAGAAAACGGTGCTGCTTAATAGTTTTGTGGAAATGTGCCTGAAATTTTACTGTCACTTTTGATTCATTTAATGCATCCTTGCTAATTAAATATTTAAAAAAATGTTACTGACCAATAAACTTTTATCAGTAGCGCGCACAAAAATAAGTACAAAAATTATATATTTATATAAACACTGGTAAAATCATTCTAGCGCTTACTCTATTTAATGCTTATTTTTATTAAACAAAAAAAAAAGTTATTATAAAGGTGATGCAAGTAATTTTTTCTGATTATGCACTATAGTGCCATCAAAAAATGTATGGTTGAGTATCCCGACACAACAACACTGACTCAACCAAATGTTTGAGAAAATGGTTTATGAAATTCAACTAGGTGACACTAGTGATGTAGAAATTACATACTACTACAGCTTGAAAAGGTGTGAATGAAAATGAAATCACTACATAAAAGCCAATGTTAGTGCAGCAGACTTGTTGGCCAATACTGCTCACTTGTGGACAGGTTTGGTAGTGGTGTTAAGGAAGTAGAAAGAAATCATACAGTGATAATTTTCTAGGGCTGCCCTCGACTAAAGATTTTTCTGGTCAACTAGTAGTCATTCGTTTTAAGCATTAGTCGACTAATCGCACGTTTATTAATAAACCATTTAAATCATGCTAATGAGCCTTTAATTGCCTACATAGCCTAATAAGCACTCAAGCACACACAAAGTTTGCTACAGCACACCAGCAGAAGTAATGATGATGAATGTGTCAGGGAAAAACAGTTAGATTAAACTGCATTAACATTTTAATAATCTATTAATAAACTAGTGTTTTCGGCTTAAGAGATGAATTTGGTGACACTGACTCGTCATCTCTGTAGTAGTAGATGCGCCTGCATGCAAGTTTCATACGGATTACATAATCTGAGAATATTAGTTTTTTCAGATTTGAATTGTTTCATTTGAAAGTAGACATTTCACTCGCTATAGATATATTTTTCATGTCTGTAAGGCAAGTATACACGGAGTTTCACGTTCAAGTTCACAGAGGCTGAGACGGCAGAAAGCGCATCCTGTTTGCTTTCATTATATTACAAAAGCGCAGTGTTTTGTTGTTATACGGAGTGCACGCACATAAATAAAGACGCTTTACAGATTCGAAAAATGTAATACTCTTATCTGTATGACCAAAATGACGTGGTATTTTAAGAGCAAGTTTTTTTTCTGCGACTAATACAATTTTGGTCGACCAAGCCTCTTCTCATTGACTAAAGGTTAGTCGACTATTAGGGGGCAGCCCTATAATTTTCTCACAATGACTTGTAATATTCTACATGATATAAAACAACAATGGTAATACTTCTAAATTCTGAATAAAGAATTCTAAATAAAGAATTATGAATGCCTAAAAATTAATACCTGGTCCTCTATCCATGGGTACAGGGCCTCCTGGAGGGATCCCTATCGCAGGCTGCATCCCTCCTGAAGAGGGAGAGACCGGAGGTAAACCACTATGGCTATCCACACAGATACACAAGCACCAAAGTAATCCAAGGACAACTGAGCTTACCAGCTGGTCCCATGGGTCCCTGTCCTGGCATTGGTCCGGGTACCCCACCCCCCATCTGTGGAGGCTGCATCATCTGAGGGGCTCCGTTCACATGCATACCTGGCTGTGAGTCACAGGATCAACAGAAGATTACTCATTAGCGCCGTGATCGAGGAGAACGGCTCGTCTGTCCATGAACCCAACTGAGACCGTACGGTTTTTTTTTGTTCACGGAAAAACTACAGTGCACCTCTGACAATGATGAGGCAAAGAATGATTTTCCCAAAGCTGATAACTATTGGGTCATAATGAAAACACAAACTACATTTTACATGCAAAGTGCATTTATTGGGTTTTACTTAAACTGTTATGATATATACACAGTATATACCCACACATGCCGGGATATTAAGTAAACTTCATGAAAACTTGTCAATGTAAAAGAACAAAAATACCAAATACACTACCATTCAAAAGCTTGAGGTCAGCAAGATTTTGTTAAGAAATTAACACTTTTATTTAGCAAGGATTTGCATTATTTTGTCAAATTTGTATTAAATTGATCAAAAATGACAGAAAATATATTTTAAAAAATTTAAGCAGCAAAACTTATGATAATTTTGCAAAAATTGATAAATGTTTCTTGAGCACCAAATCAGAATACTAGAATGATTTTTGAAGGTGACACTAAAGACGGGAGTAATGGCTGCTGAAAATTCACATTAATAAATTACATTTTAAATATATTAAAACAGAACAAAAGGTCTTTTATATTGTAATAATATTTCACAATAATCTGTTTTACTGTATTTTTAATCAAATAAATGCAGCCTTGGTGAGCATAAGAGTTTTTTTTTCAAAAACATTAAAAGCATAAGCTTTTGAACAGTCCTGTATTAAACCAAAACAGTACTACTATTTAATGCATCTCGTGATACAAGTTTTCAGAAAGATATGAATGGAGTAATACTGACCATTGGTTGAGGCTGAGAGACAGGTACATTGGGCTGAGGGAGGGGCTGGTTAGGTACAGGTACCGCTCCAGGCTGAGGACTTGGGTTTATGGGCTGAACCACAGCTGGACGGTGGAGCATTTTCTGTGAGAATGAGGGACGATTTTTCATTTGATTACCTTTACATGGTTTAAAATGTCACATATTAAACAACTGGTTTAAAACATTGTCACAATCCTTGATATTTACAACAATACTTATTGAAGGAGATGAATAAGATATTCTCAGTCTCTACCATCCATGTACAAAGACACTTTCAATTTTTCTAAGTAGTGCATTCTTTTACAGGCATTTCATGATCTTACCAGAGCGATTTCAGGGTCCACAATCCTCATGACCACCTGAGCCTGCAGCAGGGCATAAGCGAGCTGAGGGTTCTGCAGGAGCATGTTCCTGGCCTCCTGGGGACTATTCTGCACACACAGCTGTACAAGCAAGAACAGGATGATACATCAAATAATCACATTTTTCAGATTCACAAGGCTTCAAATAACAAATATTAATTTCAAATCCAATTTCTTGGATCAATAGAATTACAATCAATTAACAGGTATAATTCACCCCAAAATAGAAAATGGCATCATTTAGTCATCCCAAATCTGTAATACTTTAACTTCTCTTCTAAACACAAATCAAGATATATTTTAAACAAATAATTTTTTATGAAACCTAAGGGATTTCTCTCCCTCCATTAAAAGTCCATAACTTTCACACTTCAAACGTTCATGAAGACACCATAAAATCCATCCATATGTATCGAGGTGTTTAATCCAAGTTTTCTGAAGAGAAATGATCGCTTTTCGTGATGAAAATACATAATTTAAAGTTTTATTCACATATATCTATTAATCAACACAGACTTACAGATTTATTCTTCAATGTCTTCAACAAACTTTCAATGGAGGAACAGAAATCTCTCCGGTTTCATTACAAATATTTGCAATTCAGAGATGAGCAAAAAGTCTTATGAATCTGGAACAACATGAGGGTGAGCAAATGATGACAGAATTTTATTTTTGGGTGAAATAATCCTTTAAGTAACTTGTTTCTTCAGGTATTCTGGACCCCCTTGATCTGAAATGTCAGTCTTAAATGTAACAGGCCACTTTCCTATACTCACTTTCATCTGTTTCATTAGCTCAAACATCTGTTCAGGAGGCAGGCTGGCTACTGCCCTGCTGATGGACTCTGGAGCTTCTTCGGGTGTGCAGCCGTCTCCATAAGGGGACTCAATAATGGGAGCGCCAGTGCCCAGACCTGTGGAAAAAAGCATGCAGGTCAAACAAGATTTCTCCCTTTGGATAGAATATTACACTTCAAAACTCAAACTTACTTTTTAGCTCCTCTTTATTCTTCTCACTAGCAGCGTTGTCGACCCGGAGGGCTCTGCCGCTGAACTCTCGGCCATTCAGGTTGCGCATGGCACTGAGCGCAGTCTCCTGATCCTGGTACTCACAAAAGCCATATCCCTTTGGCTTTCCTGTTTCTCTGTCATACACCAACCTGCAAGAAGTTTTTTTTTCCTGATCAACACCAGGTTTCCTCTAAGTGACCACAGCATGTTGTTTCAGGCATTGTTGTACATACCTAAAACTAACGACAAGTCCAACCTCTGAGAAGATGTCTTTCAGCTGCTCCTCTGTGGCCTCATATGGGATGTTTCCCACTGTAACCAAAATACAAACAATAAGGGAAACAAGGAAACATGTTGCAAACTGATCTACTGTTGCAGCATCTGTCTAACGTTACTTAACGTTAACAAACACCACTGCATCAGTCCATCCATATATGCAGTAACGTTAGTTCTAGACCTAATGATTGTGTATACGTTATTACGTTTACATGTAAGCACGATTTGCAAATAATAATACCTATAATAATACTATACAAGTACCTATACCTAAATGTAGACTTTGAAATAAGGGGTTACTTAATCGTATTTCAGAGTTTTAGTTGTCACTAACCGTAGGTGAGTGAGGTTTAGCTTAGCAGCTAATGAAACTAATGAATTAGTAGATGCAAGAAACAGACTAACCCAGTCTCTTCATACATACCGAACACCGAACGTAACGAGCGGTCCACAGCAGGATCTCTAGCAGCTGCAGCTGCCGCAGCAATTGCTAAATTCGCCATTTATTCGGTGATAAAGTCACAGCTAACACGATAAGAGACCAGCACAGAGCGATGAGAAGCCAGAGACCGTGTAGTAAAATTATAGATGGCGCTACACGACCGATATTTCAAAATAAGAGTCCGAATTCGTGCTTTATCCTGCATTTATGCTAAACTGCTGCAGTTTTCTTGTTGTGTATTATTATTATTACACAACAAGATTATATAACATTATAAACAACGAACAATAGAAAATAAACAAGAAAAAATCAAATAAAATACTCAAGATAAAAAATGCAGAGTGAATACAAATAAAAAAGCATATGATAAAGCACATAAATAATTCAAATGAAATACTTGGTAAAGATCACAATCATTTTTATTTTATTTTATTCATAGAATCTTGTCAATGTACTGCCTGGTTGGGGTTTAGCCAACATTAATATTAATTCAATTAAGCTGCAATTTTTTATCTTCCTTAGAATAACTTGTCAAGAAGTACATTTTCCCACTATATGCTGGTCTTGAATGTTCTATTTAATTCATTTCAGTGTCAGTGCCGTAAAATAACTTAAGATTTTGTGTTAACATGTTAATGCATTCTTTAATAAAAAAAAATGACAATAAAACACATAGGTAACAGAGCGGTTTTCTTGATGCCACAGGTTCTCCGGATGCAGGATTGCTGTAAACATCCTTCATAGCTTATGTTAAGATTTTTTTAAAGAAAACACAACAAGAGTAATTTTCTCTGAAGAGTGAGAATCATCATACAATATGCCAGTACACATGTTTTATATCCACTGACAATTGTTTTGACAACAAATTAAAAAATGTTCACAGTGAGAGCTCAGTAGTGCATGTAGGGGGCCCGACCTAACATCAACCTAAATATCTCAGAGAATTTTTTTCTCAACCCTGTCACCTTAGCTTACTCACTAGGGGGTTACGGCACTATTTTTCATTTCATTTCCTTTTGTTTTCTTTTCTAATGTCTGTAAAGCTTCTTTTAGAACAGTATGTATAATAAAAGCTCTATACAAATAAACTATATATTGAAATATTAACTAATTGACATGTAAAATGTACATTAAAGTTCAGGATGTTTCTCCATGCAGATAAAGCTGGAGATTTTAGCTGCTTTTAATTTATTTATTTGAACATATTTTCTTTTAAATCATTTAAAAGGAATAATTACACAAAAATAAAAATAATCAACTTATCCAAATGTTTTACGAATCCTGAATGGTCTTCTTTTGTTGTACACTATACAAAACACACAGACTTTCAATTCAAAGCTTTTGTTCAAAGCTATTGTATGACTTCAGAAGACATGAAATATAATACATAAATCAAACACTCTTTTTATAATGCTTTCATGGTACTTTTGTGCCCTTTTTGCAGTCTGACAGCCTCTGGTCCCTATCCACTTTCACTGTATTGAAATAGCAGCATGAGCATTTCTCAAAAAATCCTGTATTTCGTTCCACAAAAAATAATGTGGAAATGTGGGTGAACTTTTCCTTGCAAACATCTGGTGAGCTATGGCATGACTGGTTGAGAGGTATGCATGAGTCTATTTTCTGTTTTACAACTTGACTGATCAAGAACTTTCTGTTAATCAAGTATTGTTTGTGAAATTTTAAAAAAATAATCTCACTGCATGCATTTAGTGTTGCGACCACTGGAGGATTTTAACTTGTTCCCACAATATACAGTTAACTGATTTTGCCATTTGAGTGTGAACCTCAAACAGTCAGTCAGGGCTTTGTTTGGAGAGTTTGCATAGTTCTAGTTAATCAGCAGATCCAATAGTTTTTATGTTAAGATATTTTATCTTATTATTACAGATATATTCACCAAGAACATGTTAAATGTTGTTTTGTTTTTTATTTACTAGCACTGAAAATCATGTAATATATGTTCCTTCAGAACCTTGGACAGCTCCAATCCTAATATTAAATAAAGTAATCGCGATGACATGATAAGCAATATTGAACAGTTTTCGGTAAATATGTTTAGTGAGGACAATCTCCTCCCATTTCTTGTTTATAAACCACAAATGAAAAGCAGAAAATTGTTTACTGTTCAGCAGTTATTTTGCTCATCATTATGGAAAGTAAAAATGTGATACTATATACAAATTAACCACAACATAGCAGTAATGCTTATAAATGTGGATTACAGCAACCTCTTTCCAGAAGTGCTATATTAGATTATTTTAAATCTTATTTTTTTGGCATAAAAGAGGTCTTGAACAAAACATATTCTGTCCTCAATTGCCAGAAAATCTTAAAACCTTGTTGTTAGTTGCCATTTGATTAGTCTGGAAATTGTCACATATAGAAAGCTTCATATTTAGCCTATAAATGAATGCACATTGTAGTATATAGGGTGTCATATGAACAAACCCAATTTCGACTCTAAAAATATTGAATATCAGTTTTATGTTTTTATGTCATTACTAATACTGGTCAAAGGAAATTGTATTGAGAAATGTTATGAATGTAAGATAATGTGCATATGCAATAAAATGAGCTCTTGCTACATCACCAGTGAATTAGCTTTTTTTTTTAGCCTTTTTATCCCTAGTTATCATTTTAAAGAGATCTTCAGCTGATAACATATTTTAGAGCTGTTACTGGGAGGTAACCTAAGGTACAAAAAGACAAAAAGGTAAAAATAACTTACTAAAAAAGATGAATACAAATACTCCCTAAATAGCACATATCAGTACATTAAGGGTACACAGGCTACTAGTACTTAAAAGTAGTTTAAAAATATGTTAGTGCCTGAATTTTGTATATCTAGGCTATCGTGTTGTACCAAAAAAGTTTTGTCTCTGCTCTGCTCTTTAAATATAGGTTTGTTTGATACGTTTTTTTTTTAATCCAAATCATTTTACAGTGCTTTCATGGTATAGCCCAGGGGTGGCGAACTCCGGTCCTGGAGAGCCGCAGCCCTGCAGAGTTCAGCTCCAACCCTAATTAAAACTCACCTGACTGTAGCTTTCTAGTAACCCTTCAGACCTTGATTAGCTTGTTCAGGTGTGTTTGATTAGGGTTGAAGCAAAACTCTACAGGGCTGAGGCTCTCCAGGACCGACGTTCGCCACCCCTGGTATAGCCTATATTTTATCAGTTTGTGCTTCTCCTGTATCAGGGGTCACCAGACTCGGTCCTGGAGGGTCAGTGTCCTGCAGAGTTTAGCTCCAACCCTAATTAAACACACCTGAACCAGTTAATCAAGGTCTTACTAGGTATACTTGCAGGCAGGTGTGTTGAGGCAAGTTGGAGCTAAACTCTGCAGGACACCGGCCCTCCAGGATCAAGTTTGGTGACCCCTGTCCTGTATGAACATGATCTTGGCATTGCAGCACCATGCTCTACAACAGGGGTGGCGAACGTCGGTCCTGGAGAGCCTCAGCCCTGCAGAGTTTTGCTTCAACCCTAATCAAACACACCTGAACAAGCTAATCAAGGTCTGAAGGGTTACTAGAAAGCTACAGGCAGGTGAGTTTTAATTAGGGTTGGAGCTGAACTCTGCAGGACTGCGGCTCTCCAGGACCGGAGTTCGCCACCCCTGCTCTACAATGTGAGCTATAAGTATAGCACTGGGCGAAGTTGAAGTCTACTTTAATTGGTGACTGAATTTGTAGAAACGGCAATCGAGCAGAAATGTTTGAAGCCGGGTCGCTTTACAGTTAACAGTAGGTGTCGCACAAACACTATTTTTGATTTGACGCTAGCACGCCGCTAGTATGTTGCCCGTCACCGTCATTAACCAAATTATTGTATTTACAGTTGAGCTATGACGTTGCAATTTGCCTCATTTTTCTACCAAATGATACACAATATGAATTTATAGCAATCCGCGTGCCACCAGCCTTTTTCTGCATAATATATGTTACGCGTCATAGACACAGAATGCAGAATGAAACCAGCTCTACAGGAAACACTACGATACCAAATATCTACAACTGTAACAGTTAAAACACGTGATTCCACTGGGGCTCGAACCCAGGACCTTCTGCGTGTAAAGCAGACGTGATAACCACTACACTATGGAACCACTCGCTTTAGCGTGTGAACCAGACAAAACACCATCAAACTGGCCGGTCTCGTTCTCATTAACACCAGTGGGAATTTAACAGAGCATAAGAGTAGGCTAATTGAGTTGTTTGGACGTGTTGTTGGCTCTGTTTTCTTATCAGCTGACACTTTGTCACTTGCTATCGTTGGTTAGGCTACTTGCTTGGGTCAGCGACATGCGTCCACAATGTTGGAACCAAAATGATCCTGTCCCAAGTAGAAGACAACTTTGTTGTATAATTGCATTTAATTGTAAATGTTTCTTCTCTTACTTAATAATAATTTTAACTATGCCGTACAAAACGCTCGATCCAAAGGCCATTATGTGAAATTAAATAAAACACTAGATACTTTGTTAGGCCTGTGGTTGCTGATCTATCTATCTAGCTATCTATCAGGATTTAGTGAAAATATCAGTTGACATCAAATTATTCAGATATGAAGCATTTTTTCAATGACATTGTGCGGTTAGTATGCAAACAGCTCAATATATTCTCTACTTTACATTGCTTTGGGCAAAATGGGTGCATAAAGCTTGATGCACATTTTAATTAAAATCACACCACTGTTCCTCATTTTACAATAAGCAGTCTTGTGAAAGCTTAGACTGCTGTTATTTTGGCTCATCTGTGTCAAACATGATTTTATGTTTGAAGAGTTCGATAAGGGATGTAACTGCACTTTTGTCCAGGTTATTGTACAAAACAAAATGTTGTTTATTGGAGCATTTGGAGCACTGCATAAAAGATTAAAAAGTTGTTAGACCAGAGTGAAGAAACAGTGAAGACCTGCAAAAGGCAGTCACTCAATCACGGCAATTGCTTGAATTTATACCCCAAGTGTTTGAATTCTTTAACGCCTCTCACTTTCTGAAAGATAAGCAGTTATCCTGCCACCACAGGGCCGTGTAATGTGCAAAGTTTTCTCCTTGGGTTCCCTCCCCTTAAGACTCTGCATGCTCTATGATTTTTTAGCCCAGCCAAAAAACTAAGTGCGGCTACACACACACAAACATTTACA